CAACTTTTGGATGTGGTCGGTTTTGCCTATTTACACCAACAAATCAAACTTCTGGGCTTTGGAACAAGCCTTAATTCAATTGCGGCAACCTCGGCTGAATACTTCGTTCATTTATCAATTTTTCAGCTGTCGGAAGGGGCTTATCGCCTGTTCCAAATTTTCCAGCTCGCGACAATTCGGAACCTTCTCGCTGTGGCGCAAACTTCGTTGGGCTTCCACCCCACAACATGTTCGACGAGCTCTTCAGTCCCCTTTTCCATCGGCGAGTACACCTTTGGGAAATCATCCCGGATTTGGGCAGCAACTCCGTCAAGCGGCTTCCACATGGAGAAAAAAATCAGATCCGACGAAATCGGCACCCAGGGATGCTACTTCATTCGACGTTTGGCCAACAACCTCGGTGAACCTCAGCGCTCCTATGCCATCAACGCCATCGACAGGGCCCTGAAGTTTTGGAAGGCAAAACCTGTTCGCAAACCAACTCCACTCCGAGCACCTTGAATCCTTTCACCCACTTGGACCCGAGATCTTCGCAAACTTCTCACGTCTCATACCCACAATACCAAACAATGCAATGTTACCCGGCCTTCAACCGCCTTCTACGAGCGTCGTCTTCACCAAGTACCCTTCAGTCATGGACAGCCTACTATGCAATCACAAGGACCAAGCCACACGATGGGCCGATGGGGAATCGCCAACATGCACGTGTCCAACCATGCGACCATATATTAATATCTATCCTGCACCTCCAGAAGATCAACACCTCATCCTTGACGGCGACACTTTGCACTTCCAGGACCAGCCCTTAACCTCCATTGCGACGGGCTCCCTACAGAACAAGATCTTCCCACCTCAAAAAGAGATCTTCAAATCCCTCCAAGATGCTATCCCAACGTGGTCCAAAAAGAACTCACTCCCCTCGGTGTCCTGTCGGAATATTGAGGACCTCTGGACCAGCTCAAGGCACAACCACAATATTTCACTCCACGACCACATCACCCACAAGGACATCGCTCGTTTTCAACAATTATTCCCCGATGCCGTGTTCCACAACGAAGACAAACGGGCTACTTCGCTTCGAATAATATTCTGCCCCTTCGTATACTACGAATGCCTCACGAACACCTTTTCTGACCCTCTGGTCTTTCGGAAACTCGATGCCACTCCAGCTGCCATCATCGACAACACCATCGACGAGATCACCATGCAGTTTGGCAAGATATACCCCTGGGCCTTGGGCTCTGGGCGAGACCTCCCGAATGCCTTACGTCCTACCGAAGAGGCAAAAACAGTTTCGCTCTGGCAGACCGATCGTCAGTTTCTTCTCGGCACCTTTTCGACCGATGCTGAATTGCATTGCCAAACTCATCTATCAACTTTTACCCAAAGCTTTCCCACACAACTTGGCAAAGGGCGACGTCTTTGCCCCCTCATCAAACTCCTCAAGACCACTGACTTTGACGCTATATCTACCCCACAAATCTACAATTAAAATCTTGCAGGCTTCTTCACGAGCATCGACACAGACCGATTCCTGGACAGCTGGCGCCTCACGCTTCAATACTTGTCATCCACTATGAGCACCAACCCCGATGAAATCATTTCCGTGAAACCCACGACTGGCAACACGACCGGTGACGTGGTCAAAGGCCGAAGGTGTCGCACCCCCAACGTAACCCGCAAGATCTACATCAGAGACATTGAGGCCATCATCCTCATGTCCTTGAAGATGACCCAGTTCTCCTCTGTTTACCAACAAATTCGTGGCTCCCCGATGGGATCTCCACTGAGCCCCGCTCTTTGCTTGATGGTCGTCCCACTCTCCGAGGAGATCTGGCATCGCACCTTTTCCGATACTCTGGCTTCGATGGACCTGACATCCCGCCTTCTTCGCTATGTGGACAACAGACTTTGTTTGGTGGATCCCTCTTGGCACTACGAACCAGCTTTCGCCAACTTCCTTCACCCGGAGTTCGACGGCAAGCCTGTTATCCTGGAAACGGAACCAGACCAGGAATTCTTGGGCTTCTGCATTGAGTTTGAACCCTTCGCTCTACGATATCGTCCACCGAGAGACTTTAACCAGGTCATGGCTCCATTCTCAGCTTCACCGCTGGACGTTCAACTTTATGGCTTTGTGTCCAGACTGTTTTTGGTCGCTAAATGTGCGTACTTAATCCGAACAGCTACGAGGTTTTGCCGCATTGCATCGCTTGTACAAAGCTGCAGGCTTCCAGGAACCTGACCTCGTGTCGGCTTCCAAACCAATTCGTCGCTACCTACATATAATTCGCGTTGGTAAAACTCTGCATCAAGTTGCTGCATCAGCACCTTCTCAGACTTGGAACCTTGAGCAACTCAGGTCAATTCTAATTATTTGGTTTTTGCGTGGCCACTATCCCAGTTCACTAGTCATTTATTCCCCACGAATGTGCTCCTGATTTCGGACGCCATGGCTACGTCTTCGTCTTTGACTACCATTCCCCTTCATGAACCGGTTTTTCAACAATTTCTCCATGATGTTCATCACGCTTATACCTTCTCCTACATCGGGCCATGTCATTACTCCTACGCTGATTCCGAACATCGAACCAACCTCATTGCCTAGCACCAGCGTATGGAACCAGCCTCCTGGCTTCTTGCCGAACTTGGACTACTCCGATGAAACAAATGCCTTTATCGATGGTGCGCCTTTGCCCTCACCCGACCTCGAAGCGGAAGAGAAATTCATGCAGGAGCTCGTGGACTACAACCTACCTCCGCCCCACCAACATGTCGATGCACCAGTCCCAGCCTCGGTCCCTACTCCGCCAAAACTCTCTACGGCATCACAACTTCCATCGAAGAAGCGACTAGCCAAGGCAACCCCGAAAGCCCCTGGAAAACGCCGTCGCAAGGCCTCTTTGTCGCCAGTTCCCTCTCCGAGCTCCCCTCCCATCTGGACTGACGAGGACAAGAAGATCCTTCGCACCCTCAAAACCGATGAGAGATCCCGTTTCTCTTGGAAGGTCATCGCCGGCAAGTTGGGCAAACCGGAGCACGATGTCCGGACTATGTGGAACCACATTAAGAATCGAATGGGATGACCTCTTCCACCACGTATCACTTCTTTCCAAACTTCGGCGATATTCGACTACAGGACGGAAAAAAGGTGCACAACTCGTGAATCATCATTTTTCTCCATAAGGGTTTGCTTTACACTTCCTTGACACTTTGACTTTTTGTGAATCGGGTTGTTCGATTTTCGTCGCATGTACACCATAGCTCCTTGAGTGTTTTACACATGTCGCTTTGTGCCCACCTCGATCGCTAGTGTATGCAACGAGCCATGACGACCGATTTGCCCTTCTCACCTTCGAGATCTCGCTCGCCTACACGTGTTCCCCCGTCTTCGTCTACTGGCCCGTCACCATTTCATCGACCACCCGGATGGCAACCGCCTACCGCTCATCGACCTAGTATTTTGCAAATTGACCTCAAGCCAATGCAACAACTTGCCAATCTAGATCCATACTACAATATCCTGGCCCCGCAAGTCGCTGGCAACCTTACTACCGATGAATACGACAGCTTGTTCCAAGCCTACAAGGTTATCTATCCAGATTACGCTGCACGACACTATGTTGGTGAGATCAAAACTATGGTGGTGGACCTAATGGCGCAGCGTTGGTCCATCTTCCCCAACACTACAGACTTCTATCTCTCGGTGGACACCGACAGGGCAACCAAATGCTGGATCAACCTCGACATTCGATTTTGGACATCCTCAACTGGCATTATCCTGCTTGGAAAACTCATCAACATCTCTACGATTCTCTACGCCTTTACCAATCCTCCGGCCTTGCCATATTGCCCCACATCCAGACACCTCGGAAACAGGCTTGGTGGTTCGCATTCAAAGCATTCCTCGAAGGCATCCATTTTTCTCACCGGCCTTGGTGACAATACCATGATTCATCAGACAGCGCGAGTCCAGAAAGGAAAAAGACCTTGAGTGCATGTGTATTGTAGGACAATACTGCTTTCCTGATTTAAGTCCGGACATGTGGCATCACGTCCTTTGGCCGATTCCTTTCCATAGGATATCTTCCCAGGCTGGTTTAGGCTCTGACATTATTCTACCACACGCGCTTATTCTCAACCTCATGGCATCGCCTCCCTATTCCTACACCGACATGTATGGAACCCAGCAAGCGCTACCACTATCGGAGAATCTCGAGGAACAATACATCCCTAGTGGCGACCCTTCGTCGGTATCATACATCCCTCGAGCTGCTCGATCTGTTCCCCACGCCCATACAGTTCATACTATTCACGTGAAGAAGATCACCTACCCCCTGACGTCTAGACTCCCTGAACTCTGTGTGTTGGAAACCAATCAAGATGGACTGGAAACGTGGCGCTCCATTGAGACCTTCTTGGGCAACCTTCAACTCTCTCAGGATCCCAGAGTTATACGGGCGATGGCAAACCAGTGGCGCATTCATTACGAAGTTCAACCAATTTCGACATCATCGCCTTCGGAGTCACTCAACCCAGTGCTTCCACACCCAGAACATTCGAATGTGCAATTTGGACAACCCGTTTCAGTCTTTCCGGACCATACGTTCATTCTCCAATCGTGTTGGGGACGTTCTGCCTACCATCATTCTCAAGTCCCTCCAACATCGCTATATTGGCCCCCTTCCCGCACTACACCTCCGACATCACCGTCCAGGCTACTTTTGCGACACAGTGCTCCTACACACGGATCCGGCATCTTCGTTATATCACCCTGGACCTCCTCGATCTGGCCTGAGTAGCCACGCAGATATGTCCGATTCGAGCGTCTAACTAGCTAGCTTGTTCTCAACTTGGCCAAAGGAAAAACAGAGGCTTATTGACGTGCCGACCTTTTCACGATCCCTTCATCACTCTCGATTGTATATGTTCACATTTTCTATTTGATTCTAGTCTACTCCGCAGACCTTTTGATTCATCCCGCTCACTTTCTTTTCGCAATGGCTCCCAAAGGGCTTCGGCAGCACCCGTATCGCGCCATCTCCAATGTCGAGACCTCCGTTGGCACTCAAACATGCTCCTGGTATGCGGGACGTGGAGGTCAACCTGCAGGCACTGACCCACCTCCGGACAGACCGGTCCTGATCATCGTTGACATCTCACAGTTGTACACCGAAGAAGTGACGCCAGTAGTCCGCCGTACGCTGGGACCAATCCCAGTCTCCAGTCATTGTGAAGAAGAAGTGTTCTGGGTCTCTCGTCGATGGGTAGCCCGTTGCCGGGATCTCCATGATCCAAAGTTCCTGAGTGTTGTTGGAATAGGTAAAAATCTTGAAGTAAATCTGATGCACCAACCGTTCATTGAATCGGCCATGTTGAGGAGGAGTAAGATGATGATGTCCCGAAGTTGGAAATGGAGCCGGAGGTTGGGTTCCTGGGGTGGCTGAATACATCCCCAAGTTGGTCACGGGATTCTCAGGTGCCGAAGAGGAAGATGCCAAAGTGGTAGTAGCCGGGTAGTAACAGACTCCGGTGGATTCAAAGGTGCCGCCGAAGAAGATGCATCTGGTGATCGAGCAGTGCCTTGTGAGGATCGAGGCAATCCGTTCGCTGATTACTATCCACCGGACATGGAAACTGCTTTTACACAGACGCCTCAGCCGGCCATCGCCGCCCTTGCAACCCAACTACATGATCGGCTTTTCTCGCCTCCGGTCTCTGGAATGGGATCTGGTCCCTTGGACGTCGCTAGCGAAATCTTGGACAACCTGACCCCGGATCAACTGAATGCCTTTACCGAAGCTCTGCGCATCTGGTCATCTTCTCGTACTGAGGAGCTCTGGGATGTTGATTGAAGCTGACCGAATGGTGGTCACACTGATTTCTGTACCATAGCCTAGCAGTTTTCGCTTCTGCTGCGGCCGGGCGTGTGTGTGGCACATCTGTACAGATGTCAAACTTCAGGGTTCTTGCAGTTGTCAGCAGGGGGCACAGGTGTGACTCTGGGTCCTGTGCCAACGAAGACGGCCAGAAGTCGCAGTGATATCAAAGGGAAACGTCCCTTTGACGTACCTGCTTCAATTTCATTTCATGTCATGTTTCCGGGATGGGATGTGGCTAACCCAAGAACCACCGTGCCGTTTCCAAACCATTTGTTTTCAACTTCTTGTACTGCACTGTTGTCGCAAGCTGTATTTATTTATTTTCGACGTCTTGGTCCTGGTCTACGGTTCATTTGATGGTATCTGGTGGATTTCGATTTGATGACATTCATGGCAGCGATTGTCTTCTCGGAGTACCTCATATATTGATCAACTTAGGTTCCCATTTTTGTTTGTTCCTGACTAATTTGCATGTTACAGGACTCAGTTCCTGATGGATCTCTTCAAAGATCCAATTTTGTCTAGTGTGTGTGTGAACCATCTGAATAGATGTAAAACTTCTACCATGTTTCTGCAGGGGGGCAGTGAATCTCATTCCATCCACTGCCCAACGAAGACGGTGGTTTGAGATTGTGATATCGGGACTGATCATCCCGACGTACCTGCAATTTCCAATTTTCAGTTTGTCGTCACTGGCCACCGGCTAAGCCCAGAACCGGCATGTCGCTTTTCCAACTGTTTTCGAACCAAACAACTGTACGATTTTCGCAATCTGACTGAGCTGCATCAGAACAAGTAAATCCTTCGAGCAAGGACGTAGAAAGTTTTCCTTCGCACAGTTTCTCACCTCTAATCATCCAAACCGTTCCTGTCAGGTTTACTGCGGTGTTTTTTGCACGTATGATGCATTCCGAATCAGTATATAATTCGATAAGATATTTCTGAGCAAGTGTGTGTGTGCCAGTGCGTGTGACAGTGTGGAAGTGCGCATTGAGTTTTTGCTCGAAGGCAACAGCTCATATAGCTGTGCCCTCCGGCATTAGGAACCAGACTCAGAGGATTTCTGCCTCTCCCAGCTTTAAGCTCCCAATCGCCTTTGCCGTTGAGAAGTGCATCTCTTCGTTCCAAAAGCGCCATGATGGCTCGGCTCGCGTGCCAAAAGATGGCCCACATTTGTGTTTGGGTTTGGCCTGTGTTTGTTTGTCAGTCGGTTTGTCGGTTTGTCGGTTTGTCGGTTTGTCGGTTTGTTTGTTTGTTTTGTTTTGTTTTGTTTTGTTTGTTTGTTTGTTTGTTTTTTGTTTGTTTGTTTGTTTGTCTGTTTGTTTGTTTGTTTGTTTGGTTTGTTTGGTTTGTTTGGTTTGTTTGTTTGTTTGTTTGTTTGTTTGTTTCTGTTCGTTTGTCTGTCTACAGTTTGAATGTGTGCCTGCGTGTCTGTGTGCCTGCGTGCCTGCATGCCTGCGTGCCTGCGTGCGCGTCTGCTGCGTGCAGGAACAAACGAAAGCGTCTGCTGTGAGTCAAAATGTAAAGCCCCGATCCATACCCTGAACCCACACGCCGGTCCATACCCCCGATCCATACCAAAACGCAGGTGATCCAGACCTTTCCATACGTCTGGATCACCGCGGGCCGATCCATACCCGAATTTTGACGCAACCCCTGGTCACTGCGGTTGGGAGTTGCTTGGGGTTTGGCTGCAGTGATATGCTGGTACCTGGTATTGCAAATTGTACCGAATTGACTTCTGTTTTCTAAAAGCTTTCCCATGCGGCCAGCCAAAACCTGCCAGAAACTGATCAGCTGATTTTGACTGCACTGCCCGTTGGTCAAAATTGAACTTGCACGATTTGTGATGAAGTAACTAGCTTGAAGACCCTGTTGAGGATTCAAGATCATTTTTCTCTTGCGGCTCTCACCGCTGATCCCATTCTCTATTCTGTCATATGCCTGCGGTCTGAGCAGAGTGCGAGACTGAGTTTGGAAGAAATGCAAATTTTAAGATCAACACAGAAAAATAGAATCGCAGTGAGTAGACTGAAATGTGAAGAAAACAAGACTGTGTGGCTGGGTGATGTCTGAGCATTGCGAATGCAACACTTACTGGCAGTAAAAAAAGACTTGTTGAGGAACCTTCAGAAGCTTTCCAATACTGCTTGAGGCTTGAGGAAATTGTAGGAGTTTTGTGGCGAAACTCTGTGTTCTTCCCTCTCTTGTATTTGGACTAAGGTATCGTGCTCAGCATTTCTTGTTGCAAATCTTTTGGGCTTCATGCCTTGCACTGCAGCGCAAGCCGCTGAGTAACCACTGCAGTGTCGCATGCGCGAACTGTACGGACAGCATTCATATGTCATTTTCCATCAGTAGCAATAAATTGGCTTTGCTACATAGACCTCGCAGATGTGCGCGTACTGTGTGCTCATTGATTCGAGGCTCGTCTATGCCGCCACACATGCTCGGAGCGTGCTGGAATCTGGCGGCGCGTTGCCATTGCCGGGCCCTCGGTTTGATTTGGACACCGATCACAGCCTTCCAAGATCTTCCAAGATCTTCCAAGATCTTCCAAGATCCTGAAAGCCAATTCAACGGAGGCCTACCTATATTGCCGCAGCGGTAGCTACAATTGTCCTTCTCCTCCTAGTTACGAAGGCACCGAGCATCAAGACCTCTGTTCGTGATAAATTTGCAGGATTGAACTGGGTTTTGTTAGTTTTGAATGGTTTTGGTACAGAGTTTTTTTGTAGGTCTTGTTCACCGGTTGTTTCGCTTCTCAGCTTAGCACAGGTGGCAAAGAGAGCTCTTGATACTGCAAGCGACAAAGAGCCCAGCTGAGCCGAAAAGTGCTGAGCGGTGAAACAACAGATTGGAAACTTCAGACATATGTTTTTTCGAAATCTGTCAGAATCTTTCATGTTACTTGCTTCCATGATCTTTCGTGTCATGACAAGACACGAAGAGTTTCATTGCAGCTTCTGCTCAAGAACGAGCTGTCCAGGAATTGAAGTACTTTCTTTGGAATGGGCACCAGAGGAGAATGCACCAAACACGGCGTACCAAAAACAGACAAATGTGCAGCTTTCATCCGCTTTCTACTTTCTAGTTCCCGAATGCGTAGCAAGGGTTCCCGTTTCACTCTGGGGGTCTGGGGGTTGAGGGTGTGTTCGCTCGACGTTGCGTTCGCGAGCGCAACCGTCCGCAACCGTCCGCAACCGTCCGCAACCGTCCGCAACCGTTCGCGTGAGGACCGTATGGCCGTGCCTATGGGAAGTTTTACAGAGGTGGTCCTTTTTGGAGGTTTCAGACGTCTGGTTGCTTCGTTTCGCGTGGCAGGCGTGGCACTTCGTGACATTCAGACGTGTTCTGCAACGTGTCGAAAGTCGTTTTGCGTGGCAGGCGCAATACTTTTGCGACGTTTTCAGAAGATGTGTTGCAGTTTTCGTGGCAGGCGCAGCACTTTGGACACGTCCATCGTCATTTTTCGTGGCAGGCGCAGCACTCTAGACGCGTCCTGTGGCGTGTTTTTTGTAAATCGCATTGGCAGGGCTGCGTCAAGTGGTGACAAGGTGCAAATTCCGTGGCAGGCGTGGCATTTTCTGACATGTGCTGAAAATTGACGGAAGCCTCGCACGAAACATCGATTTTGAGGTTGCAAATTTTCAGGTTCTAAGGAAAACTCGTAGGAAAACGTCGATTTTGAAGCTGCAAAGTGTGAAAAGTGGAGGAAGTCTCGCACGAAATGCTCGTTTTGGTGCTCCCACCTGTCTCTTCTCGCATGTCTGGTTTTCCCGTGGCCTCGCCGTGTCTATGGGGGAAGCTGCAAAACTTGTCTTTTTATCTTGTCGGCAACTGTGAAAATTACCGGAAGTCGCGCACAAAATGCTGGTTTTTCTACATCCACGTGTCTTGTCTCGAGTCGCTGGTTTTCCTGTGGCGTCGCCGTGTCTATGGGGGAAGCTGGAAAACGTCTCCTATTCGAATGTGTCCAAGCAGGTTGTCATGCCGTTTTGCGTGGCAGGCGTGGCACTTTGTGACATTCCAAGCTGTTTGATAACGTGTTGAAAATGTCAAAATTGGAGGAAGTCTCGCACGAAATGCTCGTTTTTCTGCATCCATGCGTCTCGTCTCGAGTCTCTAATTTTTCCTGTGGCGTCATCGTGTCTATGGGAGAAGCCGCAAAATCTCTCCTTTTCGAAGGTTTCCATGCAGGTTGTCACGTCGTTTTGCGTGGCAGGCGTGGCGCTTTCCTCACCCCACTCCACACTTTACACTCCTCACTTTACACTCCACACTCCACACTCTACACACCACACTCTACACTTTCCATTCCAGACTCCACACTCTACACTTTACGCTCCACACATCTCCACACTCCACACTTTACACTCCCCATTCCGCACTCCACACTTTACACTCCACACTCCACACTTTACACTCCTCACCCCACACTTTACACTCCTCACTCCTCACTCCACACTTTACACTCCTCACCCCACACTTTCCACTCAACATTCCACACTCCACACTTTACACTCCACACTCCACACTCCACACTTTACACTCCTCACTCCACACTTTACACTCCTCACTCCACACTTTACACTCCACACTCCACACTCTACACTCCTCACTCCACACTTTACACTCCTCACTCCACACTTTGCACTCCACACTTCACACTTTCCACTCAACACTCCACACTCCACACTTTACACTCCACACTCCACACTTTACACTCCTCACTCCACACTTTACACTCCACACTTTACACTCCACACTCTACACTTTACACTCCACACTTTACACTCCACACTCTACACTTTAGACTCTACACTATGCACTCCACACTTTACACTTTACACTCCACGATTTCCACTTTACACTCCACACTTTACACTTTACACTCCACGATTTCCACTTTACACTCCACACTTTACACTCCACACTTTACACTCCACACTCCACACTCTACGCTTTACACTCCACACTCCACACTCTACACTCCACACTTTACACTCCACACTCCACACTCTACACACCACACTCTACACTTTCCACTCCTCACTCCACACTTTACACCCCTCACTACATTCCACACTCCTCACTCCACACTTTACACTCCTCACTTTACACTCCACACTCCACACTTTGCACTTTACACTCCTCACCCCACACTCTACACTCTACACTCCACACTCCACACTCTACACTCCACACTCTACACTTTACACTCCATACTCCACACTCTACACTTTACACTCCACACTTTGCACTTTACACTCCTCACTCCACACTCTACACTCTACACTCCACACTCCACACTCTACACTCCACACTCTATACTTTACACTCCGTACTCCGCGCTCTACACTTTACACTCTGCATTCTACACTTTACACATTCTGCACTCCCCACTCCTCACTTTACACTCCACACTCCTTACTTCACACTCCACACTCCACACTCTACACTGTCCACTCCACACTGCAGACTCGTAACAAGGGAAACATGTACAAGACTGTTCAATTAATCGATTGCAGAAAGGTATTGTGCGTCACTGCATAACCATGTGTTTTGATACTGTACCATTAACATACGTGTGAGCATTCGGGTTCGTGGGTTTCATCTTGTTTTTTTTTGGTTCTTGGTCCTCTATTCATTTGGACTGCAATGAAACAACATTTTGACATGTATTGACTGATGTTCAATGGGACCGATCTCCAAACCATTTTGATATCACCAGCACAGCCTAAAAACAATTGTGTCACAGTAAATGCAAATGCCGCGGCATGTTTGCATGAAGTGACAACAAAACACACTTCAGCAACCAAAAGGCTGCATATCAGCGAGCATCTCGTGTAAAATGGTGTGCAGCTATGGAGGTTGAGGGAAGCATCCACTTAGCTTTGTTCTTCTTGCTTTGCTTGAGAACCATGAGAATCAGGCTCATGAGTAGAAATTCGGTCAGACGAGAATTAAAAGGAATCATAACCTTTGAGATCTCAATGGTGAAGCTGCGCACCGTCTCTTTTTTTTGGTTTTGCAGATGAGCTTGCTTTCACAGCACCACTAGCATCGCTGCCTGTCTCCGAAGTCATCTCAATCACTTGCAGGTTTTGGCATTTGCCTTCCAAGCGACAAAGGTTGGAAACTCAGATGTGACACGTAAACTCTGAAGGCCATGGAAAGATCTAGAAGCAAGCTGCAAAACAAAGGCTGGACCAGCATGTCCCGAGCATGTCCACACCATGTCCCGCGCATGTGCAGAGCGTGTCCAGGTTTGTTAAACTCATGAAACAAGTTCCAAATGTTCCAAACAAGTTTGATTGTTTTGATTGAGCAAATTTGACCCAAACAGATTTGACAAATTGAAAACAGCTGGCACTTTGCTGGCACCGACTTGGCGAGTGCATTCTCAAGCTAGGAAGCTGTAGGAAGCTGTAGGAAGCTGTAGGAAGCTGGCCAGTTAGTGGTGCAATGAGACGTTTCACCAGTCCTTTGACGAATATGGCAAAGCTTCGGAAGATGTCAGGCGCGGCAATGCCTCATGAATCTGCCTTTAGTGACATTGCCGAGAAAGGTGACTAGCTTCAACTCAGCAGTCCCAAGCTGAAAGATGGCTCCACTCAAGGAAAAGCGTAAGGGATGAGAAATTCAATAGCGTAGGTCAAGAGACTTTTGCAGGACTCCCTCCTACGACTGGATATCTTGCTTTGAAATCTTTGAATCTTTTCGGCACTGGGAAATGGTACTGTAAATGGAGAATTTCGCTCAATTTCGGAAAGAAACAAACAGATCCACCCCCTCCAATGAGTTTATGATCTTTGGAAGCATAGAAATAAGGCAATGCAAAAGGAGACATGGGTTCAGTTTGGCTAAGATGAGGCAACTTTACCCCTGGCAACGGAGTGCTTGTCCAGACACCTAAACTCCTAAAGGGGGTGATAAATGTGATAACTTTGCTCAGGTTACGCTGTAGCCTCCCTCGGTGCAAGTGCGAGCATCCGCGATATGGAAGCTGTAGCGCTCCAGCTGATGGGCGTCGACCCATTGAGCACCGGGAGCTACAATGGCCGTGGGGGTGTTGTGCGCAAAAGCAACTTTCCTGCAAGATGTCCCGAATGGTCCCGAATGGTCCCGAATGGTCCCAAATGCTCAAACGGTTTTAAAGCAAACATAGCAAACATAGCAAACCTCGACCCAAGTTTGATCGTCCGAAGGCATCCTCTTTTGGATCGTCCGGAAAAGACCTTGCCGCCATGTGTTAAACTGCGAGGCATTGATGGCACTGGCTTCGTGGATTCGGCAGCGGGAGCACCAAAGGAGTTAACGATTCAATTCCACAATGAGATGGCATATGCAGCGGAATTCCCGAAGTATGTGACCTTTGCGATGGTCAAACAGGCAAATGTTGACGGTACAACTACACTGGCAGACAATATGCTTGTGCAGCAGAAGCTTTCAGCTTCTTTGTTGAAAAAGTTTCACGAACTTGGTGTTCAGTATATCCGTTTCCTGCATGATGAGTCAGAGAAGAGTGCTCCAGATTTCTACAATTCTTGGCAGGGTGCTTTCCAGACAAGCTCGATGGATGTTGCTTTGCAGAACGGGAACAATAGGACCAACTTCTCTATCTTGAAGAAACACGATGACAGACGCCTTCGCCACATCCTTTGGTGCCCCGTATTTCATCAGCATCCAACCCTTGGAGAGCTTTTCTTCAACTCGGTGCTGAACAGACACGGCTCGTGGATGGATGGTCATTCTTTCTTCGGAAAGCTGCCAAACAGCGAGCGACCGTACCACTGCACTTGGGGTGATGGCAGCGAGTTCAATGATGAAGAACTTGCAGAGATCAGGACGGCTTACTCTGAGAGCACCGAGTACATCAGACTAAATCCTGGCGATGTTCCGAGTCTGAACTGCTGGTCAGTAGCAATTTCCATTTGGGGACCCACCATAGTTGGACAATTCCGCATAACTATTTTCTTGGAACGCCAAGATTCAACTTTAGCCAGGTCCTAGTGTTTGCCCGTCTCTTCGTCTCAGGTATTGGTTCTGGACAACCTCAGAGTTGTGCATGGTCGGACACCATACCGGGGTAGTCGCCTCCTGGGTTTGCTTTTGTCTGACATGGTCCCCCGACAACCCTGTGAGCCGCCACCAGCTTTTGCAAAACTCTTGCAGGGGTGAAACTGGATTGAAAAAGGAAATGATTTGCAGTGCATTATTTGCACAATAGGCCATGGTTTACCAGCATCAAACCTGCTTCTATGTCACTTGTTGGTTGTGTCCAATGTTCAGGTTGAAGAGGAGAGCGAGGCTTGTACCCGATGAGTGCTATCAAGGACAGAAAGAGGTTTGGGCTTCCAGCACCATGCCACTGATGCCACTGGGAAAAGACTTGGCTCTGTGTGTGTGTAACATCTAAATAGATGTAAAACTTCTCCTTTTTTCTTTTTCTTTCTTCTCTCCTTTTAATAAAGCAGGGGGACCATCCATGTGCTGTGTGCGATGGTCCAACGAAGCGGCCACAGTACATGCGGATATCACGGCCGATCACCGTGACGTACCTGCCTTTTGCAATTTCCTGGAATGGCAAGGGGCCAAGCCAAGAACCCCAGAAATAGAAATGTCGATTTTACACGGTTGTCGCAATCTGAAATTCACCTCGACTATTCTTTCGATGTTTGGCTTTCCTTCTATTTGACGGCGATTCTGGTCACGATGGTCTTTTTGGAGAACTTCAATTATTCGAATACTTCTTAGGTTAATTTGTTTCCCGTCCGATTTGCATGTTAAAGGACTCCGTTACTGATGGATCTCTTCAAAGATCCAATTTTGTCTAGTGTGATATCCATGGTGGCTCCGACATGGTGCCATGGAGCCACTTGAGGCAACCCCTTTGTGGGTGACTGTGGACGAACTTGACGTCGGAATTGACACTTTTGAATTAGTAATTCGGTTAAGTAAAGTGGAACAGACGGCCTTACCGTTTATCAGCCTTATGAGTTGTCCCGCCATTCCTGCTGTCCTTTGCGAACCCTTGGGATGATCATCTCTCTGCTGGATGTCGATCTGAACAGTCAGAAACTTTAGATTTACCGCTGCAGCTCCAGCTTTTAAAGTACAGCATGACATGAATGCCAGGACATGAATGCCAGGACATGAATGCCAGGCAGGCACATGACCTTCAGGTGTGGTATTTTTCGTTTTTGATGGTTTCTGGTGAGGTTGAACATTTCGTGCATTTAATTCATTGGAAGAACAGCTGTTTATGCCATTGCGCACGACCTGACTACGGTCCCGAAGGGGGGTAAGGCCCGACACCTGTTGTAGTTGGAACTGGGTCCTTTTTAGATTAATTGTTTTGGTTGTTTCACGCCCGTCACCAACTAGTCCCCATTCGGTCCCTAATTCTTCCATTGTGATTCTCCGTAATGTGTCGTGGGTTTAGGTGTGTGCTCTGTTTTTGTCAGGTCCGTTTCGCCGCGTAGGTTGGTTCTGGAGGTCCGTTCGTTCCCTTCCCCCCCTGCGCTGTTCTGGCCTTTTGCCCGTCATCTGTGTCCGCTTTTTCCTCCCTCTTGCCTTTCAGGATTGACCCGGCTCCGGCCGGGTGTGTGTGTGTAACATCTGAATAGATGTAAAACGTCTCTCTTTTTCTTCCTTCTGTCCTCTCCCTTTCTAATAATAATAGCAATGCAGGGGGACAGGGCTCTCTGATGCTACTCTGTCCAACGAAGCTATGCATCAGAGAGGGAAGCATCCACTGGCCATGGATGTGTACCTGCAAACATGTCTAATGGTCTAGGCTGGTTTGCACGTTACAGGACTCAGTTCCTGACGGATCACTATAATGATCCAGTTCTTGTCTAGTGTGATTTCCATGGTGGCTCCGACATGGTGCCATGGAAGGGTGAATGATGACTGTCCTGACTTCCGAATTCACACATTTTAATTTGGTAATTCGATTAAGTAAAGCGAAACAGCTGGCCTTACCGTTTTCCAGCCTTTTAGGGTTGTCCCGCTGGTCCGTTGGTCCCAGGGTTCCTCGCCGAAATGCCTGTCTATCAGAGTGAAGCCGTTCGGAACAATCAGAAATTTCGCTTTTTCGCTGCAGCTTTCATGAGTGAAGTGACATGTGCATTACTACGCGACACAGAGATCAGGCAGGTACATGGCCTTAGGTGTGGTCCTTTTTTGCTTTTTGATGGTTGTCTGGTGAGGTCAAACATGTTGTGCACCTAATTCGTTGGAATTTGAACAGCTGTTTATGCCCTTGTGGCTGACCTGACTACCGTCCCGGCAAGGGAACAACGCACGACCTCTAGGTATTTAGGGACTGAGTTCTATTTTTTAAAACTAATTGTTTTGGTTTTTCTTGTTTGCCTTCAACTAGTCCCTCATCTGGTCCCTAATTCCCCGCGTGCCTCTCCGTAATGTGTCGTGGGGTTTAGGTGTATGCACTGTTTTGGTCAGGTCCGTTTCGCCGTGTAGGTTGGTTTTGGAGGTCCGTCTGTTCCCCTCCCCCCTGCGCTGTTTTGGCCTTTTGCCCGTCGTCTGTGTTCGCTTTTTTCTTCCTCTTGCCTTTCAGGGTTGACCCGGCTCCGGCCGGGTGTGTATGTGTGTGTGTGTAACATCTGAATAGATGTAAAACTTATTAAAACTTCTCTCTTTTTCTTCCTTCTGTCCTCTCCCTTTCTAATAATAATAACAATGCAGGGGGACAGAGCTCTCTGATGCTACTCTGTCCAACGAAGCTATGCATCAGAGAGGGAAGCATCCACTGGCCATGGATGTGTACCTGCAAACATGTCTAATGGTCTAGGCTGGTTTGCACGTTACAGGACTCAGTTCCTGACGGATCACTATAATGATCCAGTTCTTGTCTAGTGTGTGGGAAACCCTGAATCAAAGGGTAAAAGCAGGGGGCCCGTGGACGCATAGATGGCACGGGCCAACGAAGACCCATCTATGTCGTCGTGAAAACGTACCTGCAAAACTCTCATCGTCAGAAATGGGAAGGTGGCCAAGCCAAAAACCACCCATGCCGACATGCCATGACAGGACACGGCATGCTAACGTAACAACATGACATGACATGTATCATTTCATCTCATTTCACCCTCTCCCTTCGGGAGTTTTCCAAGTGTGTCTTTCATGCACCCGGATCTCTGATAAAGTGCCGGGGAAGCTTGGTGGTGCGTCTGCCGGGGATACCAGATTACAAGAATGAATCCAGCCATGACGTTGCCAGAAGCCAAATCCGCACAAGCATCCAGATTCCGCACAAGCATCCAGAAGTCTCCATCAGGGGTTGAATGTTTTCAGCATAAATCCAGAGGCCACGCCAGAATAAATCCAGAGTGAAACTTTCATCCCTCAGAAAAACCCCGTGTCATCCCATGATTCATGATTCATGTTCACTTAGCAATCATGTAAAAACCTAGCACTGAGAGAAACAGCACCATGCCGTTACCAGCCTTTTTTGTCGGTCGTTGGTTGCTTGCTGAACAGCCGGAAATTCGGATGCAGTGGTTTGCTTTTGTCAGCCTTTTTCAGTGGAAATTGAACTGAACGCCGTGAAACTTCCTTTGGTTTTTGTTGGAGCGAGAAAAATGCCACACCTCATTCATGACACCCACGGCCCATGTACACAGAGATTTGAGCACCACGTTCCATGTCACAACCCAGCACAGAGAAACAGCACCATGCCGTTACCAGCCTTTTTTGTCGGTCGTTGGTTGCTTGCTGAACAGCCGGAAATTCGGATGCAGTGGTTTGCTTTTGTCAGCCTTTTCCAGTGGAAATTGAACTGAACGCCGTGAAACTTCCTTTGGTTTTTGTTGGAGCTAGAAACATGCCACACCTCATTCATGACACCCGCGGCCCATGTACACAGAGATTTGAGCACCACGTTCCATGTCACAACCCAGCACTGAGAGAAACAGCACCATGCCGTTACCAGCCTTTTTTGTCGGTCGTTGGTTGCTTGCTGAACAGCCCGAAATACGGATGCAGTTGTTTGCTTTTGTCAGCCTTCTTCTGTGGAAATTGAACTGAACGCCGTGAAACTTCCTTGGGTTTTTGTTGGAGCTAGAAAAATGCCACGCCTCATTCATGACACCCACGGCCCATGTACACAGAGATTTGAGCACCACGTTCCATGTCACAACCCAGCACTGAGAGAAACAGCACCATGCCGTTACCAGCCTTTTTTGTCGGTCGTTGGTTGCTTGCTGAACAGCCCGAAATACGGATGCAGTTGTTTGCTTTTGTCAGCCTTCTTCTGTGGAAATTGAACTGAACGCCGTGAAACTTCCTTGGGTTTTTGTTGGAGCAAGCAATGCGTCACAGACATTTGAGCAACACGTTCCATGTCACAACACAACACCGTGGAAACAACACACTAGATTACAGACCATTTCTGGTTCGAAAAATCGTGCCCTAGCGGCTTGCTGTGTGTGGGAAACCCTGAATCAAAGGGTAAAAGCAGGGGGCCCGTGGACGCATAGATGGCACGGGCCGACGAAGACCCATCTATGTCGTCGTGAAAACGTACCTGCAAAACTCTCATCGTCAGAAATGGCAAGGTGGCCAAGCCAAAAACCACCCATGCCGACATGCCATGACAGGACACGACATGCTAACGTAACAACATGACATGACATGTATCATTTCATCTCATGTCACCCTCTCCCTTCGGGAGTTTTGAAAGTGTGTGTGTGTGTAACATCTAAATAGATGTAAAACTTCTCCTTTTTTCTTTTTCTTTCTTCTCTCCTTTTAATAAAGCAGGGGGACCATCCATGTGCTGTGTGCGATGGTCCAACGAAGCGGCCACAGTACATGCGGATATCACGGCTGATCACCGTGACGTACCTGCCTTTTGCAATTTCCTGGAGTGGCAAGGGGCCAAGCCAAGAACCCCAGAAATAGAAATGTCGATTTTACACGGTTGTCGCAATCTGAAATTCACCTCGACTATTCTTTCGATGTTTGGCTTTCATTCTATTTGATGGCGATTCTGGTCACGGTGGTCTTTTTGGAGAACTTCAATTATTCGAATACTTCTTAGGTTAATTTGTTTCCCGTCCAATTTGCATGTTAAAGGACTCAGTTCCTGATGGATCTCTTCAAAGATCCAATATTGTCTAGTGTGTGCGTGCGTGTGTGTCTGTGTGTGTGTGAACCATCTGAATAGATGTAAAACTCAGCATGATACAGTAACGGTTCGATTCGGTTCGATTTGGCTCACATTTCCGGTTCGCAGCGCGCGGTTTGGTTCATAAACGGTTATTTAATAAAATAAACGGTTCGGTTCTACCGGTTCGGTTTCCAAAAAAAACGATTCCACCGGTTCGCTTCCACCAGTTTATTGAAAAAAATCCTAATTAGTTCTCGATCTTTATCGTGGCAGCAGCTTCAAGCTGAATCCCCATTGTGGTAATAGAATCTCAAAGCGGTAGCTGAATCTCCCATTGAAATTCCCCCTGTTCTGCGGTAGCTGAATTCAGCATTGTGGTGGCTGAATCTCCCATTGTGGTGGCTGAATCTCCCATTGTGGTGGCTGAATCTCCCATTTTGGTGGCTGAATCTCCCATTGCGGTGGCAGAATCTCCCACTATATTGGCTGAATCTCCCATTGTGGTGGCTGAATCTGCCATTGTGGTGGCTGAATCTTCCATTGTGGTGGCTGAATCTCCCATTGGTGGCTAAATCTCCCATTGTGGTCTCCCATTGTGGTGGCTGAATCTCCCACTGTGGTGGCTGAATTTCCCATTGTGGTGGCTGAACCTCCCCATTGTGGTGGCTGAATCTTCCATTGTAGTGGCTGAATCCCCCATTGTGGTGGCTGAATCTGCCATTGTGGTGGCAGAATCTCCCACTGTGGTGGCTGAATCTCCCATTGTGGTCCCATTACGGTGGCTGAACCTCCCATTTGTGGTGGCTGAATCTCCCATTGTGGTGGCTGAATCTCTCATCACGAAAGGTAGCGTCAGCTACCTGAGTTCTCCGAGCTTCAGCACAATCATAGGTGGTATTGGGGGGCCAGCCCTGGTCAAACGTAGAATTCTAGGCGCTATGTATTAGATATCAATTATTAGGCCCCCCCCCCTTGAAATGGTCATGGGTTCATTTCCCGGGTCACCAGAGGCACACCCTCCATACTCTCCATGAGGAGATGTCCCTGTAGTCCAGCATAATTGGCATGGTTCAGCATCAGGAATGTTTGCTGCAAGGGGTCTCAAAAAGGTGTTTTTAATAAGCCCCTTTTCGTGCATTATTTCAAACTGCACAAGACACTGCATCATGCTGCCATGCTCTGGATAGAACATCTGATTAATAAACCCTTTGTTGAACAGCTGGACGGCGTTCTTATTTATTTTTTTTTCGATGCACCAACACCGGTTTTGCGCGTCAAAGATGATTTTATCCACAGCATGACTGCATGATACCGTGCCTTGTGCAGCGTGAAATGACGCACGAAAAGGTCTTTATTTACAGAAAAGGACGCCAGCAGGGCCCCAATTTACCACGTTTCTAAAAAGGCAGTGTTTTGAGGTGTGTTACAAAAACGCATTTGGAAGAGAAATATGTTTGCTTTACAGCTTTCTCGTTGAGTATCTAAAAAGGTATCGTTTGTTGTTTTGAACACAAATAATTTGATGGATTATATAGAGCGCCTTGGAAAGTCTAAAGCTTCAGAATGCATAGAAAGAAAGTGATTGATCCTAGGGGGTATAAAAAACATATACACATAATATTTATTATATTGAAAATAATTATATATAAATATAAATATAAATATATATTTATATAAATATATATTTATATAAATATATATATATATATACACACGTATATATATATATACACATTTTTTTAAGGAACCTCCCTTAGTCTATAATATATCTACTATATATATATATCTATATTTGTTTTTTGAGACCCTGCTTAGACCCAGACCCCCCTCCCCCAGAGCTCCGAGCTCCCTAGACCCAGCTCCAACGGTCTTTACTACGTAGTATGAACAATACCACTCAGTTTGTTTATTCTGAAAAGAGCGTCATCAGTAAAAGATATAAACTTAACAATTTTGCAGACTCATTACCCTTAGACCCAGCTTGGATGCGATATTTTGATCTTTTTAAAGCTTTCGATTTTCTTCACTGCATGGCAAGGACATACTAAGCTTAGAAAAGAAACACACTATGTCTTAGGACCATGTAGTGCCACTACAAGGGCGAGCGCATGATATTCAAAAGTTGCACAAGAAGAAAACAGGATGGAAAGTAGAACAGTTATACACCCATATATATATATATTTATTGAAGAAAATCATTTAGTTCAAAAACATGCTACATTTGTCATGGCCATGAAGCTCAATATCTATTTGAATGAGTAATCTTGAATGACCATCTACAGTCATCCCAGGGGAGCAGGCAGCTAGATCATATATTTTTCGTGATTTGCGTAGCCAATTTTCTCTCATTGAGGTCTTTGTGCAGTCCATCTCCACACATGGGTCAATTCAAGCTCGATTTCAAATAGAGCCAACAATAGTGCTACAACATTCAAATCTACAAACAAGCTTGCAACGTATGACATGGCGCAATGCAGTGATTACTTCTATTTGGTTATTTGCAAGGTAATTCAAGAGATAGTTAGGATCACCCTTGCTGCAGTATCTTAATCTGCTGATAATATCTTTCGAAAAATGCGGAAAAAAGTAGGCATGCGGCATACCCTTGAAGATGTTTGCTTTATTCACAAATTTTGATTGCAGGATTTTCTGTCCATATTATTTCCATACTGTTTTCATATTTGTTGAAAAATGCATAGTGTAGCATGAAAAGAGCATGATACAACTCACCACTCTGCAAAGGTCTTGCCAGTGAAGAACATGTCATGTGCAATTTCTGTAACACAATGGTGAGTCATGTATATGTATGCTATCTGCTTGTGTACCCAGCGCAGCTTGTAAGTGACACTGTTTGCAAAGTTTCCTGTTTGCCCGCATTGTTGGCTTACCAAGATTGTTTCTAAGCATTCTTATATATTCCATGCGCGCTATATAAAAGTTGAAAAATGAGTTTGCACTGTACATATGTGAGAAGAGTGATTTGCTCCATGCCTTTTCATGATCACTATTGGTTTGTGATGAAGCTTGCGCTTTATTGCAAGACTTGAAAGAGCCATTGAAATCTGTTCACATTTGGGTTAATCTTGGGACAAAACTTGAGTCCTGTAAGGTTTCAAACCTTGATATACCCTTTGCAAGTACAATTGCCTGCATTTCTCATGGTGTTGCTGGCTGTACTTTAGTTTGTTTCTGGTAGAAACCACCAAATCGAAGCAATAGTAATACAGTTGCATGAACAAATTTGTATGGTGATGTCAAACGGGCACTTGTTCAACATGGACTATGAGATTTGCTTAGCTTTTCTCATCGACCATTTTTGGGTATTGTAACATGTGTATATATATACATACATGTTACATGTTCATGCGATGATACACACATTGAATTTGCTACTTGCCATTGGTGTATTTATAATCTGTTCATGCAAAGAATAAATAATGTAGAACTAAGGGTATGGGCCCTATCTCCAACTCTACTATGCTATTCTATATGAACTTTCCAGAACCAAATGAAATATACAATAGGTAACAATGCAACAGCAACAAAGCAATATAAGCAACATAGAGTAAATCAGTAACAAAACATATCAGTAGAAATAAGCACAGTTTATCAAAAAAACATCACAAAACACTGTAAAAATGGGGCCCTGGTGGCGTCCCTCTCTCTTTATTTTTCCCACTTTTTAACCGTCAGCTTACCGAAGTTCTCCGTGCTTCAGCACAATCATAGGGGGTATTGGCGGGCTAGTTCGCGCAAAACGTAGAATTCTAGGCGTTATGTCTTAGATTTCAGTTATAAAGCGGGGGGAGATGTCCCTGTAGTCCAGCATAATTGGCATGTTTCACTTCAGCCTCAGTAACAGTTGCTGCAAGAAGTCTTAAAACGAGGTTTTTAATGAAGCCCTTTTCGTGCATCATTTCACGCTGCACAAGACGCTGTATCATGCTGTCATGCTCTGGTGTTTTAAATAAGATGTTCTATCCAGAGCATGACTGCATGTTACAGTGTCTTGTGCAGCGTGAAATGATGCACGAAAAGAGGTTTATTTAAAAGCTCCTTTTTTAGATTTGTCCAAATCCCAAAATCCATCTCCAAAAGGCTCCTGGCCACGATTTTGCCCAAAATGGCCATTTCCAGCTTCCTATGTCAGCAGTTTAATGGCCAGCTGGAGCCTGCCCAAATGCCAAAATCCAGCTCCAAAAGGCTCCTGCCAGGATTTGGCCCAAAATTGCCGTTTTTAGTCTTTCCTATGTCAGCGGTTTAATAACCAGCTGCGCCAGCTGGGGCCTGCCCAAACCCAGCGGCCGTTTCTAGTTTTTCCTATGTCAGCTTGCGCAAATGCCAAAATCCAGCTCCAAAAGGTTCCTGGCCAGGATTTGGCCCAAAATGGGTGGGGCCTGCCCAAATCTAGTTCCAACAGGCTCCTGGCCACGATTTTGCCCAACATGGCCGTTTCCACCCTTTCCTATGTCAGCGGTCCAATAACCATCTCAACCTTGCCCGCGAAAATCTAGCTCCAAAAGGCTCCTGGCCAGGGTTTGGCCCAAAATGGCCGTTTCCAGTCTTTCCTATGCCAGCGGTCTTATAACCATCTGGAGCCTGCCCAAATGCCAAAATCCAGCTCCAAAAGGCTCGTGGCCACGATTTTGCCCAACATGGCCGTTGCCAGCTTTTCCTATGTTAGCGGTCAAATAACCATCTGGAGCCTGTTGAGATGCCAAAATCCAGCTTCAAAAGCTTCCTGGCCAGGATTTGGCCCAAAATGGCCGTTTCCATTCTTTTTTTTTGGTCAGCAGCTTAATAGCCAGGTGGAGCCTACCCAAATGCCAAAATCCAGCTCTAAAACGCTCCAGGCCAGGATTTGGCCCAAAATGGCCGTTTCCAGTTTTTCCCGAGAGCGTCTGAGCGCAGGGTTCTTCCAATAGTGGGGGTCTGTAAAACATCTTCTCATCTTCACATCTTCTCATCTTCACATCTTCTTATCCTCACATCTTCTCCTCATCCCTCATCTTCTCATCTTCACATCTTCTCATCTTCACATCTTCTCATCTTCACACCTTCTCATCTTCACATCTTCTCATCTTCACATCTTCTCATCTTCACATCTTCTCATCTCCACCTCTTCTCATCTCCACATTTTCTCATCTTCACATCTTCTAATCTTCACATCTGCTCATCTTCACATCTTCTCACATCTTCTCACATCTTCTCACATCTTCTCACATCTTCTCACATCTTCTCACACCTCCACTCACATCTTCTCACATCTTCTCACATCTTCTCACATCTTCTCATCTTCACATCTTCTCATCTCACATCTTCTCCTCTTGCCCTCTTGCCCTCTTGCCCTCTTGCCCTCTTGTCCTCTTGCCCTCTTGCCCTCTTGCCCTCTCCTTCTTTTCTATTTCTCTTTTGAAGGCGGGAGCAGGGGCAGTGCCAACGAGACGGCACGAAACGCAACCCTTTCGCACGAAATGAGGGTCGAGCGTCAAAAACTGAAGTAAAATTGCGATTTTACTTGTCCCGGAGCAACCCTTTCGCACGAAATGAGGGTCGATCGTCAAAAACTGAAGTAAAATTGCGATTTTACTTGTCCCGGAGCAACCCTTTCGCACGAAATGAGGGTCGATCGTCAAAAACTGAAGTAAAAGTGCGATTTTCCTTGTCCTGGAGCAACCCTTTCGCACGAAATGAGGGTCGATCGTCAAAAACTGAAGTAAAATTGCGATTTTACTTGTCCCGGAGCAACCCTTTCGCACGACATGAGGGTCGATCGTCAAAAACTGAAGTAAAATTGCGATTTTACTTGTCCTGGAGCAACCCTTTCGCACGAAATGAGGGTCGATCGCCAAAAACTGAAGTAAAATTGCGATTTTACTTGTGCTGGAGCAACCCTTTCGCACGACATGAGGGTCGATCGTCAAAAACTGAGGTAAAATTGCGATTTTACTTGTGCCGGACTTGTCTGTGTGTAAAAGCGCCTGTGTGTAAAAAGCGTCTGTGTGTAAAAGCGTCTGTGTGTAAAAGCGTCTGTGTGTAAAAGCGTCTGTGTGCAAAAGCGTCTGTGTGTAAAAGCGTCTGTGTGTAAAAGCTTCTGTGTGTCAAAGCGTTTGTGTGTAAAAAGCGTCTGTGTGTAAAAGCGTCTGTGTGTAAAAGCGTCTGTGTGTAAAAGTGTTTGTGTGTAAAAGTGTTTGTGTGTAAAAGTGTTTGTGTGTAAAAGCGTCTGTGTGCAAAAGCGTCTGTGTGCAAAAGCTTGTGTGTGTAAAAGCCTCTGTGTGTAAAAGCGTCTGTGTGTAAAAGCGTCTGTGTGTAAAAGCGTCTGTGTGTAAAAGCGTCTGTGTGTAAAAGCGTCTGTGTGTAAAAGCGTCTGTGTGTAAAAGTGTCTGTGTGTAAAAGCGTCTGTGTGTAAAAGCTTCTGTGTGTAAAAGCCCCTGTGTGTAGAAAGCGTCTGTGTGTAAAAGCGTCTGTGTGTAAAAGCGTCTGTGTGTAAAAGCGTCTGTGTGTAAAAGCGTCTGTGTGAAAAAGACTGTGTGCAAAAGCGTCTGTGTGTAAAAGCGTCTGTGTGTCAAAGCGTCTGTGTGTAAAAGCGTCTGTGTGTAAAAGCGTCTGTGTGTAAAAGGGTCTGTGTGTAAATGTGTTTGTGTGTCAAAGCGTCTGTGTGTAAAAAGCGTCTGTGTGTAAAAAGCGTCTGTGTGTAAAAGCGTCTGTGTGTAAAAGCGTCTGTGTGTAAAAGTGTCTGTGTGTAAAAGCGTCTGTGTGTAAAAGCTTCTGTGTGTAAAAGCTTCTGTGTGTGTAAAAGTCTCTGTGTGTAAAAAGCGTCTGTGTGTAAAAGCGTCTGTGTGTAAAAGCGTCTGTGTGTAAAAGCCCCTGTGTGTAAAAGCGTCTGTGTGTAAAAGAAAAAAAAGTGTTTGTGTGTAAAAGCGTGGTGTAAAAGCGTCTGTGTGTAAAAGCGTCTGTGTGTAAAAGCTCTGTGTGTAAAAGCCCCTGTGTGTAAAAGGTCTGTGTGTAAAAGCGTCTGTGTGTAAAAGCTTCTGTGTGTAAAAGCCCCTGTGTGTAAAAAGCGTCTGTGTGTAAAAGCGTCTGTGTGTAAAAGCGTCTGTGTGTAAAAGCTGTGTGTAAAAGCTGTGTGTAAAAGCTCTGTGTGTAAAAGCGTGTGTGTGTAAAGTCTCTGTGTGTAAAAAGCGTCTGTGTGTAAAAGCGTCTGTGTGTAAAAGTCTGTGTGTAAAAGCGTCTGTGTGTAAAAGCCTCTGTGTGTAAAAGGGTCTGTGTGTAAATGTGTTTGTGTGTCAAGCGTCTGTGTGTAAAAGCGTCTGTGTGTAAAAGCGTCTGTGTGTAAAAGTGTCTGTGTGTAAAAGCGTCTGTGTGTAAAAGCTTCTGTGTGTAAAAGCGTCTGTGTGTGTAAAAGTCTCTGTGTGTAAAAAGCGTCTGTGTGTAAAAGCGTCTGTGTGTAAAAGCTTCTGTGTGTAAAAGCGCCTGTGTGTAAAAGTCTCTGTGTGTAACAGCGTCTGTGTGTAAAAGGGTCTGTGTCTAAAAGCGTCTGTGTGTAAAAGCTTCTGTGTGTAAAAGCGTCTGTGTGTAAAAGAGCCTGTGTGTAAAAAGCGTGTCTCCATACTAACAACAGAAGACTCTGCTCCTCTACGCTCTCGGGCCATCCGTCGTCTAGTTTTTTTGTCAGCAGTCTTATAGCCAGGTGGAGCCTGCCCAAATGCCAAAATCTAGCTACAAAACGCTCCTGGCCCGTGACGCCGCGGCACTTTGCGTGGCAGGCGTGGCACTTGGTGACATCCACCTTCGTTTCACGTTGCAGGCGTGGCACAATCTCACATCCAAGGTCGTTTTGCGTGGCAAGCGTGGCGCTCATGGCACTGGGTGGCGCCCTTGGGCCCGGTTTAGTCGCGCGTAGTCGCGCGTGGCGCCGCGGCACTTTGCGTGGCAGGCGTGGCGCTTGGTGACATCCACCTTCGTTTCACGTGGCAGGCGTGGCGCAATCTCACATCCACGTCGTTTTGCGTGGCAGGCGTGGCGCTCATGGCACTGGGTGGCGCCCTTGGGCCCGGTTTAGTCGCGCGTAGTCGCGCGTGACGCCGCGGCACTTTGCGTGGCAGGCGTGGCACTTGGTGACATCCGCCTTCGTTTCACGTGGCAGGCGTGGCACAATCTCACACCCACGGTCGTTTTGCGTGGGAGGCGTGGCGCTCATGGCACTGGGTGGCGCCCTTGGGCCCGGTTTAGTCGCGCGTAGTGACGCCGCGGCACTTTGCGTGGCAGGCGTGGCACTTGGTGAAATCCACCTTCGTTTCACGTGGCAGGCGTGGCGCACTCTCACATCCACGGTCGTTTTGCCTGGCAGGCGTGGCACTCATGGCACGGTCGTTTTGCGTGGCAGGCGTGGCACTCATGCCCTTGGGCCCGGTTTAGTCGCGCGTAGTCGCGCGTGACGCCGCGGCACTTTGCGTGGCAGGCGTGGCACTTGGTGACATCCACCTTCGTTTCACGTGGCAGGCGTGGCGCAATCTCACATCCACGGTCGTTTTGCGTGGCAGGCGTGGCACTCATGGCAATGGGTGGCGCCCTTGGTCCTGTGTGTTTCTGAAATTTGTCGTTGGTTGATATACGTCATATAACCATGGTGCTTGCCACTGTGACTGTGTCGTGACTTGACAGGCATGCGCTCTGTACTTGTCTTCCATAGTTGCATTGACAACCAGCTACATTCGTGTTCTACTTTTGCGGCCAGGTACCTTTCCTCTATGTCATCATCGTCGGATTCGTGGCTGTAGAACAGGCGCGGCTGTCACGTAGCACATCTCGTTGCACCACATGGAGCACAGAAGATCATGGAACACCTCATTCAGCCCATTCCAGGTCCGCAGTGCTGCCGCATGCAGAGCAGATGACATTGCAGCGCTGGCAAAAAAATGTCTGCACTGTCGCGCACTCACGTCACTTTCACACACACCATCTTTCACGCGCAGCTTTGTCACACGCATACATACATACATGCACACATACATACATGCATGCATGCATGCATACATGCATACATACATGCATACATGCATACATACATGCACACATACATACATACAGACAGACAGACAGACAGACAGACATACATACATACAGACACACACACACATACATACATACATACGTACGCACGTACGTACGTACGTACGTACGTACATGCATACTATCTTTTCACATACTTTCACACACAGTCTTTCACCACCTCCTTTGTCTTTCCTTCCTTCCCCGTCCCCGCTACAACCTTTGAAACTCAGTATTGGAAGAAGTTGACTTGTGGGGTTATCCGGTCCTTTAATTGGAGTGTTTTTGCACGTAAGATGCATTCCACATCAGAATGCGCAATGATAGTTCTGAGCAAAAGTAAGAGTGTGTGTGTGTGTGAGTGTTTGTGTGTGTGTTTTGTGTTTGTTTCGTTATGTTATATAATGTCATATATTTCTTTTTCATTTCCGCACATTATGAAAGTGTAGTAGTGAAATGGGTCAGCTTGTCGCGTATGTCGTGTCATTCCCACCATCCAGGAAACTGTATGCAGAATGATTCCTGAAATCGGACCCAAATTGTTGTGCCAAACCCAAATTAGTGAGCCTTCCCACGCCAGGTGAAAATGAGACACGAAGGCTTTGAGCCAAGGCAAGATAGCTTGAATATCGTTTAAATTTGTATAAACTTCGACTTCCCATGCCACTCGTGGAAATAAGGGACCAAATTTGGTGTTGTGGAGAGAAAGGTTCAGGACTGTCTTTGTGAGGCACAGGTCTTTTGTCAGTTCGACCAAATCCAAAAGGCAACGTTGTATAAGTGTGGAGCATGCACAACAGTTTTGGACACAAGAGTTCCGTATAGTTTTGTGATGTCTGGTGTATTTTTTTCTATATTTTTTCCACTCGTTTGTGCCGCTCTCTTTGCTGCCTTGGCTCAAAGACACAACTTGCCCTCTTGAGCCGGGGGCAACTGTGTGGTGCAGTGCCTGGGCGAGAAGGATTTGATCGCCTGGTCAATGAGGGCAAGCACTTGGACCTTGGGTTCAAGATTCAATGAGGGAATCAAAGGATTCAAAACATTTGGTGAAATTCAAAACAAAGGATTGAAAGAGAAATTCAATCTTTTTGCAAAAGGCCGACGGCCGATTTCTGTGACAAGCTCACAGAGATCAGTCAGTGGGTGCTTGGCAAAAGCACGCCACTCATCATGGCCCTCCCGGGCTTCGGGTCTCAGCATGCGTGGGTCTATGGTGCCTGGCATGTCCGGCTTTAGGGGGCCACCTTTCGTTGGTGCAACACGTGGTATGAGGATCCTCGTGGCCACCCCGGTCAATGAAGGGAAGCAGGTTGACATGGAGTTTGCCGATGGCACTGCATATCGTTGCTTGACTTGAAATGAGATGAATTGAGATCAATTGGAAGTACATTTTTGGTAAACTTACAGTTTTAAGATGGTTCAACGTTTCCTGTAATTTTGCGTGGTCCATTCAAATCTGTTGCGCGAGAGTTCTATGATGCTTGCAGAAATTCTCCAGCCAGGCTTTCACACAGCGTGGATCAAAGACTCCCATCCAAATCTTACGGGCAATGACTATTACAGAAAGTCTGCCCAGACACTTTTTGAAAGCGATCAGTACACCGCAGACACAGTCAAGACTGCTTCTGATGGTTCTCTCATTGCAGTGAACTTCAAGAATCACTTGGACGAAAATGCAGTGACCGAGGAGTACCCATCAGCCTGGCTGCATGCATTTGCACCCTATGTTGGAAGCCCCCTCAACCAGAAGGCCAAGCCAAGGATCAATGGTTCTGGGCTGCCTGGTACTGGATCATTGCTGGACGACCTGTACAAAAACAGGAAGCCCTGGGATTCCAGTCTCGTGATGCCAAGATTCAACGGGCAGGAAGTGCTCTACGATGAAAACAAACAGATTGAATTCTTGGAAGCGATGATGGATCCAGGTGTGGCAGTGGTCACAGATGTTGGCAAGCCCAAAAGCTTGGAGCACTCGGATTGTGGTCAACCTTTGGAGGACTTCATGTTTGACATCCTTGGGAGGGCAAATCAGCATCCAGTGCGTGCTACTCGCTTTGGTGTGATTCACACAGAAGCTCGTGCTGCAGAAGCTGGCTCAGACTATGATGTCAAGAACCCACTTTCCATGCACACAGATCACTCCGTGTACCACGGTACACCTGGCTACTTGCAGTTCATGTATCAGGCCCGTGGCTCGGTGACATCCAAAGTCTGTGATGGCCTGGCTTTGGCAGAATATCTTCGGGAGCATTATCCAAAGGACTTTGAGATGCTTTCCCGAATCAATGTCACTCACTCTTCGAGAAACAGTATCTACGCCAAGGATGGACAGTACCGCAGAGAATCACATGCAGAGGGCTTCTGCTTTGAACTGGTGCACACACACCCAGTCTTCACCCTCGACGAAGATGGCAGCGTGCTCAAGGTTGTGCAGTCCGAGACAAAACGTGGCATCTCTGCCCTTCCTTTTGAAGCCTATGAGCCGTACATGAATGCCTACAAGAGATGGATGTCTTTGTGCGAGGAACCCCGATTCAAGTGTGCCTTCGAGTGGCCGGAGCATTCCATGGTTGTGATGAACAACTGGAGGGTCTTGCATGGCCGCGCGGAGGTGTCTGCCGGAATGCCCAGAACTATGGTTTTTGCCTATGTGATGAAGACCATCTATGAGAACCGCCATCGGCTCTTGAAGCAACGGCAGGCTGAGCAGAAGAAACCTGAGCTGAACCAAAGGTGGCTAACCCGCCTACCGAATCAGGTTCTGACCTCCTTGGTGGATTGATTAAAGATAATTGCTATACTTTTATCCTTCTTGAATTGATTGGCTTTTTCCGTACGTATGCCCTAATTTCGAATGAATTGGACGTTAAGCCGTACGCACCAGCCTCAACTCTGAATTGGTTGGGCTTGCCAGTTCCTCTTCCCGGGCGACGGCAGCGGCTGGGGCTTGTTGATGTTCGTTTGGAGAAGCAAGCAGTTCAATTATCAACCCAACTAGTAGATACTAGTAGCAGCTTTATATACATATATACTTACATATGCTCATATGCATTTCAAATTGATTTCAAGCCTAAATATTGTTGTGCTGTTCTGGGTTCATTGCATGGTTTTCCATAGGGCCTGGCACGATTCATGTTTCACAATCAATGTTTTGGGACTTATATACTCTATCAGCGGGTGGCAAAAAGTTTGGAGACCGGCATTGAGCGGCCAAGAACGGAATGGTGCTTAGATCAGATCAGAGGCGTTGTTGCTCTTTAGACTTGCGTTTTCTTGACACAATTCAACGCGAATTCCATGTGCACGTTCTTTTTTGCCCCCAGGTGTCCGACGCAAAGAAATCAGACATCGAAGGCATGGAAGGCATGGAAGGCAAGAGATTGGGCTGATCCTGCGAGTTTGCCATCTTGAGTTCTGTCTGTTGAGAGTTGCCATCTTGACTCAGTCTTCAATACTTTAATGAGCTGCTAAGTTGAGCGGGAGTGCTCTTGAAAGGTCTGTATAGGGATGAACGGAAATGGCTTGTCCTTATCATGGAAGAAAGGGAGAGCATCTGATGAATTTTGCAGCAAACTCAGCAAACTGCTTAACTTGGCTTTGCTTTGCTTGTTGGGATTGTTGAGCTTTTACTCGAAGAGTTCCTTTAAGGACAGGATCAAAGTGCAGCTGATGGCTTCATAGCCCTTCGGACTCTCTCACTTACTAATATCCTTTATATAATAGCCTCACAGTTGAACACGAAACCTTTATATACTGTAAAGAAGCAGCAACTAATTCAGTCCCTGTCGGATGACGTTTAAACATGGCGTGTAGGTGTAGCAGTGGTGCGTTTAACCGCCCTTTGGACAAGCACCCTGCCACCTGGATCAGGTTTGAGATTTGCAGTCTGTTCAGTCTGGGGCAGCAAAGAAAAAGCTCAGTTTGCTACAGAGCGTTGGGAAATGTTCCTGCTTTGATCAATTGCTTGCTTGTTGGCTTAGTTAGCTATGTGTACATATAATTACATATTACGAAAGCCAGCCGGGAAGCTGGCTCGGCTAGTTGTTATTCGCGAACGAAGTGAGAATATAGGGGGTCTGGGGGGGAGGTAGTTGCCAAAAGGTGCCAAAAACGTCATAAATAGGATAGGTGGTGTTTGAGGCGAGAAAAAAGTATGGTTTTGCAGGGTAATGTACCATGGGACCATGTGGCAAAACAGTGACGGTGGGTATCGATTCCCCCTAGGTCCGGTTGTTTTCTAGGTAAATGGGTCAAAAGTATGTGGGTGAAACAGGTATGGGTGAAAAGTCTGAGGGTGCAAAGTCTGTGGGTGAAAAGTCTGTGCAAGACGAGTTTCTGGGTGAAGAGTCTGTGGGTGAAAAGTATATGGGTGAAAAGTATATGGGGGAAAAGTCTGTGGGTGAGAAGTATATTGTTGATCCGTCTGTGGGTGAAAAGTATATGGGTGAAAAGTATGTGCAAGAAGAGTTTTTGGGTGCAGAGTCTCTGGGTGAAAACTCTGTACAAGAAGAGTTTCTGGGTGAAGAGTCTCTGGGTGAAAAGTCTATGGGGGAAAAGTCTGTGGGTGAGAAATATATGGTTGATCCGTCTCTGGGTGAAAAGTATATGGGTGAAAAGTATGTGCAAGAAGAGTTTCTGGGTGAAGAGTCTCTGGGTGAAAAGTATATGGGGGAAAAGTCTGTGGGTGAGATGTATATGGTTGATCCGTCTGTGGGTGAAAAGTATATGGGTGAAAACTCTGTGCAAGAAGAGTTTCTGGGTGAAGAGTCTCTGGGTGAAAACTCTGTGCAAGAAGAGTTTTTGGGTGAAGAGTCTGTGGGTGAAAAGTATATGGGTGAAAAGTATGTGCAAGAAGAGTTTTTGGGTGAAGAGTCTGTGGGTGAAAAGTATATGGGTGAAAAGTATGTGCAAGAAGGGTTTCTGGGTGAAGAGTTTCTGGGTGAAGAGTCTTTGGGTGAAAACTCTGTGCAAGAAGAGTTTTTGGGTGAAGAGTCTGTGGGTGAAAAGTATATGGGTGAAAAGTATGTGCAAGAAGGGTTTCTGGGTGAAGAGTTTCTGGGTGAAGAGTCTTTGGGTGAAAACTCTGTGCAAGAAGAGTTTTTGGGTGAAGAGTCTGTGGGTGAAAAGTATATGGGTGAAAAGTATGTGCAAGAAGGGTTTCTGGGTGAAGAGTCTCTGGGTGAAAAGTATATGGGTGAAACGTATGTGCAAGAAGAGTTTCTGGGTGAAGAGTCTGTGCGTGAAAAGTATATGGGTGAAACGTATGTGCAAGAAGAGTTTCTGGGTGAAGAGTCTGTGCGTGAAAAGTATATGGGTGAAACGTATGTGCAAGAAGAGTTTCTGGGTGAAGAGTCTGTGCGTGAAAAGTATATGGGTGAAACGTATGTGCAAGAAGAGTTTCTGGGTGAAGAGTCTGTGCGTGAAAAGTATATGGGTGAAACGTATGTGCAAGAAGAGTTTCTGGGTGAAGAGTCTGTGCGTGAAAAGTATATGGGTGAAACGTATGTGCAAGAAGAGTTTCTGGGTGAAGAGTCTGTGCGTGAAAAGTATATGGGTGAAAAGTATGTGCAAGAAGAGTTTCTGGGTGAAGAGTCTCTGGGTGAAGAGTCTCTGGGTGAAAAGTACCAACTCTTAAACCTCAAAAAAAACCCAGAAACCAAAAACAGGTTGAGCCGGATCCAGAAATTTGAACATATTTTGAGAATTCCTGGAGCCATTTGTTTGCAGTAGGTTTTTTTGTTTAATGACATTTGATTCGTGTTATTTAAGTTGATCATAAACCAGTCATGATTTAGACAAATGATCAATTTATATAAATTTCAAACAGGCAGGAAAACTGGGTGCTCACAGGATCACTGCGGGACGCGAGTCCCAAAAATGATTTTCACACTTTGGCGCCTTGGGCATGGACATGCTTTGGACAGCTTTGGAAGATTTTGAAGGCTTTCAAATTGGCGCTGCATGGTTCCCGTTAGCCATTTTAAAACCAATTCTCTCGATTTCTATGCTCCGTCGTGGTTTGTAGCCATGATCGGAGTGGAAGTGCCTGATGGCCAACTGAATGGTTCCTTGGATGAATCAAGCTGCCAATATTCGAAGAATATCTTTAGCTTCACCCAAGAAGGTTGCCCCGTAAAATTGTAAACTTGAGTTTGGCATCAGCACATATCCGCAACAGAAACCCACGACAGCGGCATTGAACCCGCGTAGCACAAGCACCTTGAACAGTGCCTGCACAGCGACACCTTGCATAGTACCTTGGGCAGACCCTTAGCAAAGTTTCGAATCAAACGCTCAAACGTTTGGAAGTCAGAACCCGCTGCACCGCTTTCAGCTAGTTGGGATAAAGTAACCGCACGTGAGAAATCGTGTATAGAACTGCATAGACATGCCATGATATGCCCAACACAACTAAGGCGGTATACATCGGTATACTGTAGTCACTGTAGTAAGCATTGCGCCTTTGTGTTCAAAGGCGCGGGTTTGTTATTCCAGGTTCTACGGACATCCAGCTCTCCAGCCCTGTGAATGGCGCCTCAGGCAGCGGGAAGAGAGAATTTGTCACCCAATCCTCCATGTCATCCATGTCTGCGTCCGCAAAGCAAGTGCAAGCACATGCCATGGCAGAGATTGGAAGTGATTGAAGTGACACCAATGACAAATAATGACAATCACTAGATATCACTAGGCCACTATGCTTTTGAATGCTCTTCGTATTGAGATGGGCCTGGGATGTTTGTTCTCCTGCAGGCTATGAGTCTGAAGCACCTCGTGGTCTATTCGGTCTTTGGTCCTCCCTGCCACTTGGGGTCACAAGGACTCACCGCAAGCAGAGCAACGAAGACTTCAGACTAAAACGACCGCAGTGATTGCTCGACTTGTCACTCATTTTTGGGCTAGCCACGTTTATAGCTGGGCTGACGGCTGACAAATTACAGTTGCACTACGTATGTTACACTGTGTTACACGTTACACTACATTCACCCGTTGCCAGCGCCCAATGCAAGTGTCCGATCCATCGGAAGCTGAGGTTTGGTTGTAGCTCCAGTTGTCCACGGGGCAAGGCTTGTGCCAAGGAAGTGCAGAACTTGCCGGTACAGCCCGACAGATGTCCTTTCGGACACGGCTCGGTTGGAGCTGCACCATATCCCAACTATGTGCAGCCCTCGGATTTGGTCATTGCTTTAAACATAGCAAGTCCGCAAGGTGAAGTTTCAGCTCGCTGATACTGGAAACATTTGGTCGTAACCAGTTGTTCGATGAACACCAACGTACCCACCATAGGGATTGGACCCGCAGCCACATATCCAAACATTAAATGAAGTTGGAAAAAAAAACAACTTCCAAGTTACGGATCCACAAATAGCCTTCAATTACAGTGAACTTATACATTTGGCTCGCATGGTGCGTTTACATCTTGCGCTTTCCCATCCCACTTTACTGTGTATAATATATATATATATATCCCGCGTTTTTATCTTACTTATAGTCACGTACAAGTCTCAACTTACACATCTAATTTAGACATCTCAACTGACAACTCTCACTTTGAATAATTATATCACTCGCTTTACATTGTTTTTACATGAGGGGATTTGAGTCAGGGATCAGCATGACCAATCAGATTCTGTCAGTCCGGATCAGCGTCAGAGAGGTATCGGGATCAGCGTCACATGTCATGATCTACTTGGGACGTCTTGGGACGTCTTGGGACGTCTTGGAACAGTCGGGATGATCGGGATGGCTGAGATGGCTTTGGTGGGCTTGTCAAACTTGTCAGCT